GAGATATTTGGATTCTGTTTAAAAGCAAATCACTTTAGGTATGAACACACTGAATTACCCTATTCATTTTAGCAAAGTTTGGCAAATATTTCTGACAGCCAATTAAATCCTTGCCACTGTGCTAGCTGTTTGTTCTCTCACAGAAGCAAACAGAAGGTCCCTGCTCTTGAGACCTCAGTGGATTTGGAGAGGCTGAGGACACATTTCCCGTGTCATGGCTCGGTGGGTGTCATCATGTGGGCATGGTGTGTCAAGGACAGGGTAAGAGCCATGGGCAGGCCTGGGGTGGGAGGGGAGGTAATCTTGGAAGAAGTAAAGAGTTGAGCAGGGGATGGCAGGGGTGGGGTGGACCAAAGCAGGAGGAACAGAGCTTTTTTTGCAGTGGGACTGTATGCTCAAAACTCGGGTCAAGAACACACAGTCTGAGGTCTGGGGCCCACTGCTCTCTAGCACAGTAGAAACTGCTCCTTCCAAAGACACCCATGAAGGGAGAGTGACTCCAGAGAGGTGAGGGAGCTGGAAGGGAGTGTTCCTATAACCGTAGATACTACAGTATTTTAAAAGATTCTTCAGGAAACATAACTCCACATATGTCACAGCAACAGAATCTCAGAAAAGTAAATATAAGGCACCGTAATGGAGAAGAGACTTCTTACCTGAAATAATAAGTGACACGCAGCAAGTGATTGCTAAATGTCAGATGTCTCAAGGTTTACCCAGGTTGTTGACTCACTTCTGTACATCCCAACCCCGTGAGGTGGATTCTGTGGCCACTGCATGCCAGAAAAGCTCTCCTAGTCAGCTGGCCTTCATCCCCCACCGTTTTCCCTTTCTGAATTACCTGAAACATTCTGTATTATACTTATTTGCTATTATGTTTGCGCTGGCTCAGTCCTTCTGATAGAATGGGTGTTCCTCAAGGCGCGGATTTTATTTTTTGTTTGCTACTGTAGTCCTAGCACTTAGGAAACATAAGAAAATAGCAGCTCAACAAATATTGGTGAATGAATGAATAATAGAGACAGGCACAGAATGGACAATAACTTGAACTGAAGCAAATAGCTTCGAAATAGCAGGGCCGGGAGCATTTACGTGATTAACCACAGGAGCTTTGCCATAAGATTCTGGGCACGTGGGAAGGTATGGCTGAATTGAGGATAGCGGGACCAGACCAGTGACGGCAAACCTCTGAGCGCTTTCAATGATACAAACAGCCCGCTGAGGTGCATGTGCTATGTTGGCCACCACTGGACTAGACCATCATCTTAGCGAGGAGAGGTTTAAAAGCACGATGGCTCACTTATTTTGTTCTTTCAACTATTTAGCAACACTCACTGAGCAGCTATTATGTGCTAGGCCTTGTTCCAGGCGCTGGGGAAACACTAGTGGGCCAGACAGAAGGTTACGGTGCTCAGTGGGAAGGAGGAGAGACAAACAGCAGAAAAGGAAGCAGAACACTCAGAATAACTTTAGGGGATGATAAGGTCTGTGGCTGGAACAGAGTGATGGAGGGTAACTTGAGAGGGGGCAGAGCATCACCAGAGGTCGGATGGGAAGGCATCTTTGAGAAGCTGACACGGGCGGGTGGCTTTTATCCAAAATACGTGGGATCAGGAGAGTCGCAGATTTTGAATTTTTTAAAACTTTGCAATATTTCCATGTACATAACGAGAAAACTTGGGACCCAGGTTTAAACACAAAATTCATGTATACTCTATACACATGACCTGAAGGTAAATTTACACAATATTTTCAGCACACCTGTGTTTTGACTGCGCCCTATCACGCGAGATAAAGTGTGGAATTTTCCATTTGTAGCATCACATCAGCGCTCAAAAGTTCTGGATTTCTGTGTGTTTTGAATTTCAGATTTTCAGGTTAGGGATACTCAACCTGTATGTGAACAGAATTCCAAAGAATAATGCTTTAAGAAAAGACAGTGCTCAGAACAGGAGGAAGGCAGGAAGGCACAAGTAGAGGTAAGGTCAGGGCCAGGGTTGAGGAGTGAATCAAAACTCAGAAAGTGTCTGTAGAGTTGGCAGTCCCTGCTCAGGAAACAGGAAAAGGCCTGGATCTTCTTTTGGGCCAGGTCCAGCTGAGACCATAGCCAAATGTTAAAGAAATTGTCCAGAAAAACACACTTGGTTTTAAACCAGGAGCCAAACCAGAAAGTTTCCACTTCTGGCACGGTTAGGTGATCAGTTGATAGACAGAGGCAAAGGGTGCTGAAGAGAAGAACAGGTGGGTAAGGAGAAGGGACTCCTTTTTGCAGGAGAATTTTGTCAGTTCAAGTCTGAAAGCACCTTACACTCAACCTTAAAACTACAATATGTTCACCCAGTTTGTGTTTCCACCCATGTTGGAAGATCTGAGGGGACTTTGAAGGGGCACATGGCCTCAGAAAGCACCTAACACAAATGACACTTACTTGGGGCTGTGAGCCCCAAACTTAGGGAACAGATGACTAATTTATAGAATGTTTGTAAAAAAAATGCAGATTTGCTGGGCCTCACCTGCAAATTCCTATTCATTATATAAAAGATGAACCCAAAATCTGCATGTGTGATTTAAGTGGTCCCCAAATAAGCCACAACTACAGAAATGTGAAGCTCTACCAATGGGCTTCAGTGAGTCTATGAACCCCAGAAAGAGAATGAGAATTGTGTTTGATTGTATATAGGTGCATTTCGTTTTCTGAAAAGAAGGTCAATATCATTGCAAGATTTTCAAAAACGTGTGAAGAATGGCTTAATAAGCCATTAACGGCCGCCTGTGTAGTCCTGCCCTTGTTTTAGGGACAAGGAAACAGTCTCAGACTAGGAATTTCCCAAGTCCACAAAGCTAATAACATCAGAGTAGGCATCGCACCCCAGGCTTTCTCTGTCCAGGCCCCTGCTCTCTCTTCCCTACCCTGAAGACTGCAGGGATGAGAGGTGAGGAAGGGGCGAAATGGAAAAGGACGGCTTTCCCATTTTGGGTCCAGATGGGACAGATCAGTAAGCTGGATGGTTAGAAGGATGGTTCTTTAGAGCAAAACATTTATTGGTATATTTCAGACATGCATAAGGCTAACACTCATCATAGGGAATTTGCCTCTGTACATAGTACATCCTGACCTCTTTTTTCCCATTTCCCCCTCCACTCAAACTCCCTTCCCTCCCCATGTACAAAAGCTTTGTTTCCATTTTTTTCTTCTATTTTCACTCTTTTTTCTTGTCCCTTCCTTCCCTTCTTCCTCCCTCCCTTGTTCCCCTTCTCATTTGAACATTTTCTTCGCGTTTCCCAATATCCATTACACATTTTAGTCCTATTTCCACTTTCGGTTTCGCACACCAGAGAAACAGTGTGTATTTCAGCATGTGTGTCTGATTTATTTCACTTAAGAGTATGGTCTCAAGGTCCATCCATGTAGCCACAGATGTCTGAAGCTCATCAGAAGGATGACATCTTAATAAAGGGATGTGAGTCCATCCCAGGCCCTGTCAACTGTGAGATCCCGTCTCTGTGCAGGAACACAGTCAAGCAGAAACCCATGCGCCCTGCTTTAGGATGTGTGGTGGTGACAGCGGGATGCTCGCACGAGGACGTGCTGGTGCACCTGAGCAGGTGGGCGGTTCCACTCTTCCCTGCCTGCCCTCTGCTTCCAATGATTTATTTCCTCAGGCCAGTCTAGACTGTGACCTCACTCCCATTAGCACGCTCAGGTCACACTTCCTCTTGGGCTCTCCTCCCAGTCCAATCCCATGGCACTAACCCCAACTGGCTTTCTCACATTTGGTTATGTAGCCTACCTTTAGCTTTAGGAAAAATCCTTCATACTCTGGCCTAAGCCTGGGTCTCATTCAGCCTTGTTCACATTCCTCTTCTGAACTCACAACTTCCTACCTAGACTACTTTCATTTTTTTCTAACCTGTTTTAGTGACAGGTCCCCTCCCACTGTGGTCCCATCTGGCCATGCCATGCTCCTCATCCAGCGGGTGGGAGCAGCATGCTTTTCAAGGCCCAAATTTATGTGTTGTTCTATTTCTCCTTTTGGAACCACATAGGAAATGAGTCTTATCCCTTGTCTCTGCCCTTTGCGGGGAGCCTATGAAATCTTCTCAGACTCTGGCAGTGTAGACCACCTGTCCTCCTCTGTGCCCCAATCAGTGGGTTCCGACTCTTTTACTCATCCCACCTTCCCTAAAACTTGTTTTCCCACTTGATTTCCAAAGTCTCTTGCCTTTTCCTTTTTTTCTTCCTTCCATCTCCTCCTTTTCTTCTTTTGTCCCCTTCTTTTATCCTTGCCCTGTCCTGTGGACTTCTTTGGCCCTTCCTGCCGTTGCTTTGGTGGACAGCAGTGTTCAAAACTGAGAGACTGCCAGAGTCCATCGCATTGCCCAATGCCGTCTCTGAGTGGTGCAGACTTCTTTTGGGATCAGATAATCCAGGAAGGCTGGGCATAGGCTCTGCCCTGCAGAACTTGCCGTAGGCAGGTAAAGCAAGGAAATCTCCATTTTCCTAGCAGCTTCTTCAAATCCATAGGTGGCAATTTGGACACCTTGTCTTTAACAAACAAGGAAACGAACTCAGGGCTGGGGAAACTTGCCCCAGGTCACAAATTAAATCATTACGGAGGTAACAGTGAGCACACACTCTTAGACTGGAAGAGGTCCAGAAAGCAGGGTCACAGCCGGCTGTCTATGAATGCCTCACCCAGGGTGGTCCCACTGCAGACACTTGGCAGTTACTGGAAAGTTGTGTAGACTTTCCTGTTGACTTTATCCTGAGAAGGAACTGCACAGTGAATTCCTTGTGGACAATTAATCATTTTCTTTGTTGCCTGTGACTGAGGCTGTTTCTCATGTTCTGCCCCTGGTTTCGCCTGTCCCACGGATTGCATTGGAAGGGCGGGGCATCCCCCACATCCCTCCACCCCAGCCCTAGCACAGCCTGCAGTCAGACCAATGAAAGCAAAGTACCTCATCTACCAAGTGACTAAGACCTCTCAGTATTTAAGAGGGAGCAGGAACAGACTGAGAGTTGCTTCTGCTCTCTTCACAGAGCGGCACCCTCTCATCTGATTTGGGATATCACTGAGCTGCAGAGAGAGTGGGGAAAACCTCACAGGCTCCCGCCTCCATCATGTGCTATGGCAAATGTGCCCGATGCATCGGACAGTCGCTGGTGTGGTTCTCTGTCCTCTGCATTGTAGCTAATATTTTACTTTACTTTCCCAATGGGGAGACGAAGTATGCATCTGAAAACAACCTCAGCCGCTTTGTATTGTTCTTCGGTGGTATTGCAGGAGGGGGCTTGCTGGTAAGTCATTCAGATTTATTAAAACTTTTAAAAATTCTCTCCTGCTAACTAGAAGTCATCCTTATTTCCACGGAAAGTTTTCTGTAATGCATATTTCCAAGTCCAGAGGTTTCTGTTGTTGCTCTTCTGGTGTTGTTTGTTTGTTTGTTTGGAAGCAGATGATGTAAAGGTTGTGACAGACTTTAACAATTTCATCAGATGTTTTACAAAATCCTCTTTCAACTGGAAATGTACTAAGTCTACAGCTAAAAAATAGATACTTTTAAACAAGATTTGAGAGACTACAGAGTTTCTAGTACTGGAGTGGGCAGTCATTTAACATTGGTCTTGGGAGCCAGGAGATTTTGGCTGGTTCTAAATCCACAGTTTTGGATTAAAATTATCTGCTGCTTATTTGCAGGCATCTGTGACAAGAAAAAAAAAACACAATAAACTGATTACATTCCTATTTACAAAGAATTAGAGCTTTCTTTTGGGGTGTGATACCTGGAAAAATCTCACAGGGAGCAGCAGATTGGAGCCTGAACCTAAGAGTGGAATGTGTTGTATTTTTCAAGGTTTGTTTTTAATTGAAGTGAGGAATTTGCTTGCCAAGCTGGGCGCTGAAAGTATTAGCTTCAACCTCAGCATGGAAAGAATGTGAAAACTTGAGTTTGGTCCTTGAAAACACTGGGATTAAGAATTTTAAAGAGAAATTTTATGGAATTGTTAATACCATATGGAATATTTTTTCTTGCTCAATTAAAAAAATGGAAACTTTTAAATCTAATACTGTATATTGACTATGTCATGGAAAATCTGCTTTGAATTTAAACATTTCTATCATGTTAATGTAATCACTAGTGCAAATATATCTATTATAAATTAACATCATGTAATTTAACAATGCATTGTACTTGTTTAAGTTTCTTTTGACTCTAAACTGCAAGTATTTCATACTTATATTGCTTAAAGAGCTTTACTGTCACGCCGTAACAGTACATTTGTTCTTTCAGATCGATTCTATTTATTTCAGATAGATTCTATCTCTCCCACTTAAAATACTCAGTTATTCTATTTAAGACTTGTTGATATCATCTACATTTGACGGTGGGGGGGAGTCAGATTTAAAGACTGCATTTACTAGTTCCAGGGGAGAGTTTCGTTTGCACCTGGAGCGTCATTATGAACTTACGTAGACTAAGCACATTTATAGGTTATTATTTTACTCTTCCAAATTGTTTATCCTCACCTTGGAGAATACCTTGACACATTGCCCAAAGACGAGCAAATATTGCAGAGTAGTTTTTCCTCTTCACCCCTTTACCTTCTTTGAAATACCTAATCGACATCAGTCCACAGCGTCCGAAGTAAAGATATTTTCCCAGAGACTGCTAACCGGACCCAGGTGAACTGCGGAAGGACAGTGACTAGAATCGCTTGCCTCCCGACAGATGTTCCTGCCAGCGTTCGTGTTCATTGGGCTGGAAGAGGACGACTGCTGCGGCTGCTGCGGCCAGGACAACTGCGGCAAGAGATGCGCGGTGAGTCCTGCAGCCGGGCTGGGGTCGTGACCCACGCCTGAGACCGAGCAGCCGCGGGTGCTTCATCCCACGTCGTGTCTCTCCTTTCTCTAGATGCTTTCCTCGATATTGGCTGCTCTCATCGGAATCATAGGATCCGGCTACTGTGTCACCGTGGCATCTCTGGGATTAGCGGAAGGACCGTGGTGTCTTGACTCTCTCGGCCAGTGGAACTACACCTTGGCCAGCACGGAAGGACAGTACGTAACTGTTCTACACGTGGCGACACTTTCCTATCCATCTCTCGTGCATAGTGGCAGCCCTGCTAAACTAAGTGACCCGTTTGTCCGTCCGCCCAGACAGTGTTTTTTCACAGACTCACACATAGGCTAGGCGCTCGGTGTCCAAGGATGGGTGGCATATTCCGGGCTGGACGAGTTCTAAGTGGCTTTTCATAGATCCACTGATTCTGTTCCCGCAACAACCCTCTGAAGTTGCTTCCACTCTTACTCCTATTTTACAGATGAGAAACGGGAAGCCCGGAAATGTGACACAATTTCACCAAGGTCTGACAGCTGTTTGAACCCAGGCAGCTTGCATACAGTTTGTCCTCATTTAGCACGTACGTTACGTTGGAACGATTAATTGATTAGATGTAACACACATTTGTCAGAAACAATCATAGCACCTTATATAACGAGAATGGCAGCTATGAATTTAATAAACACCCACAACAAATCACACCCACCATCGTACATATGCATGTTCATATATAACATCTGAGCTATGTACAACATACCACTGATTTTAAACTATAGGGTGTAGAAGAGAGGTCTTATTTACACCTTTAATAACAGGACAGATTAAGAGATTCCATTCTTTTATGCTGACGTTTACTTTTCCTTAGATAAAAAGAAAGGAACAGAAAAGAAAACAGATGGAAACGGATATATGTGGAAATGAGTGAATCACATGCTCCTCCAGCTGGTTTTTTCTAAGTTTACTTTTTCCTGATTCAGCTTTTAAAGTTGACTTTTGAAAAGTTCAGTTTTGAGATTCATGAGTGAAAAGAATATTAAAATGAACTTCAATTATCTTTATATTATTAAGAGCAGTTGCAACCATGAATTGTGTAGTGTATAGTGAGGCAGCACACACACACACACACACACACACACACACACACACACACACTTTTTCCTCCATGAGGTAATGAACTTGGAATTAGATCTGGGTTCATTGCAAGTTTTGCACTTATTCTCTGGGTACAGGAGCAAATGAACGGACCGCTCTGAATTTCAGTTCCTTCATCCATAAGATATCAAAGGTGGTCATCGTGAGATAATGGGATGTGTGAGATGCTTCTGCAGAGACCTGCCCCCTGTGAGCACTGCCACTGTTAGATGTTTAATATTATCTACTAGCTTAAAATAAACAACACATTGGTGGCCTCTGAAGGAAAACTGGCACTTGAGGAGCTTAAAGTTTTAGCATTCAGAATTGTCAATACTGAATATACTGTTGAAAAATGATTACTCATGTATGCAAAACTGTTGCACACATCTTTACAAATCTGCCTCTGTGAAAAGTCATAATTTGTGCATCCAGAGTGCGGGGAGTTGTATCACTAGACATTTTCGGTAGCTGCTTGTACGCGCCTCCCATTATCCGCTCTAGCTTTGTGAGAAACCTTCCTCTGTTTCTCTATCACCCTTCATTTGAACCTGTGCTGGGATTTCAAGATAGGATTAACTAGCAGTTCCGAGTCACTGGTTTGTTGACCAGCAGTCACATGAAGCCAATAAGCTCTTTGAGATTGTGATCTGAAAATATAGATTTTTGTTTTCATTCCATTGACATGCAGAGGGTCAGGTCCAGAAGGAGAGAAATTAAAAAAAAAAAAATAACCATAGGAATGGATCTCAGGTTGGCTTAATGGACTCTTCCAAAGTTAGGTCTCCAATTCCAGGCTCCTTTGTTCTGCTGAGGCAAGAAGTGATAAGAAAAGGATTATACCAGGCCTCTTTGTGGAGTTAAGTCAGTCCTAGATTTTCCCACATGATTAAAGCCTACTTCATTAGGAATCAAAAAGGAGAGAGAAGGAGAGAGAGAGAGAGAGAGAGAGAGAGAGAGAGAGGGAGAGAGGGAGGGAGGGAGAAGAGGGATGGAAAAAAGAGGAAAGTGGAAGGGACACTGACTATTAGAGAAGAGAAAGGGGATCAGAGAGAAAGAGGGTTAGGGTAACAGGAGAGTGAAAATGTTCCATGCTTGTACAAATATGCCAAAATGAAACCTGTTGTTCTGTGAAACTAATGCATACTAATAAAATTTTTAAAACAGAGTGGTACACCAAAGGCTGAAGTTTTAGGAAAGTGATCAGAGGTAGATTTTTTTCAGATAAGAATAACCGTATATTTAGAAATTCTTTTTAGTCCTGTTCGTATGTTGTCAGGTATGACCCCATCACAGTTTGCTAGCATTTTGAAGTGGCTTCAGGTTGTCACATATCATTCAGTTACCTTCAAAATGTGTCCAGTACCCACTGTGTGCCAGACACTCTTCTGGTGGCCAAGGCGGGTACGATAGTTCCTACCCTCAGGGAGCACAGCCCGATGAAGAGATGTAGGAAGGTATTTGCTCCGGACTAGGTTAGGTGCCCTTCCTCTGGTCCCTTCCACACTTTCCCCTCACCCAGTCCCCTTCCTTGTTGTCGAGGTCGTCTGTTACTTGTTGCCTCCCTTATACACCAAGCTCTTCCAGGATAGAGCCTGAGCTTTGTTCATATTGCAGCCCCAGCCCTGACTCCAACGTGGAGTTCACGCAGTGTCGGTAATCTCTGTGGAGTGAGAGAATACGATGTGCTTCGTGTTGCTATGGGTGCATGGGTAATCAGAAAAGTAAAGAAGAGGTATTAAATTAATTGGATTTAACCCCTCTACTTCCTCTTGCAAATTAACTTATTCCTCAACAGCAAAAAAACCCATATATATATATTCCGAAGGTCCCAGTTGAAAACTAGCATATTAAATGACCTCACTTGGCTGAATTTGGATAATTTTCCAAAAGAATGAATTGTATTTTAATGAAATGGTCTAAAGTCTAAAAAACTAATGTAGAGATTATAGTTTCTAAATAGATATTCATTCAATATTGGTTATAAAGTCCTACCTTTCACACAGATAACAATTAAGCAACGATAAAACTGGGAAACCGAGTTCTATAATTCTGCTACCTTAATACATGATTTATTTTCATTTTTCCACTTCTACTCTTAGTTCACATCCTCACATACATACATGAATCTTACCTTAAGCATGGCACAAATATAATTTGCACTTTTATTTTTGTTTACAGTAATTTATGTATTTTTAGAGAATATAAACATCATTCTAAGGTGAGGATTTTTAAACACAGAATCCTATCATAGGAGTTAAAAGTTTTAAATACTTTTGTTTTTGTTTTTGTTTTTGAGATAGGGTCTCACTCTGTAGCCCAGTGTGGGCTGGAACTCTTGAGGATCATCCTGCCTCAGCCTCCTAAGTGCTGGGATTGTAGGCATGGTGGCTTCCATGCCCTGCTAAAACTTTTAAGTTTTGTTTTGGTACCAGGGATTGAATTCACGACCTTGTGCTTGTGAGGCAGGCGTGATGCCACTGAGTTAAACCTCTGGCCCTAAAAGTTTTAAGTTTTGATTTCATGTTTATTACTATAATAAAATCTGAGCTAAACTTCTGTGGAATGGCATGTTGTGAGAGAATCTAGCACAGAAGTTTAAATGAATTCATTTCCTTTTTTTCCAAATAAAAATCAGCACACCCAGAAGTAGCTTTGGAGGTGTCTCATGAGGAGGATCCTGTGTCAGAAGTTGCTCTTTATATCCGTAGGTACCTTCTGGATAGCACCACATGGTCCCAGTGCAAGGAACCCAAGCACATTGTACAGTGGAATGTGACTCTGTTTTTCATCCTCTTGGCTCTTGGTGGAATCGAATTCATCTTGTGTCTCATTCAAGTAATAAATGGATTACTTGGAGGCATATGTGGCTACTGCTGCTCTCGCCAGCAGGTAAGAACTTGTGTGAAAAAGCCCTGCCCTGGCTGTGCTGTTTCTGTTGTCATAATGCACCATTCTTTTCAGCAAAGAGAAAGAGGCAAAACTAAACATGCTCCAACTGGCAATGTTTATTCTTCCATCATCTCTGTGGCGTTGCATTGGTAGCATTCAGTTTTGCTTTCAGAAATAAGCTTGCTTGAGTAGCACAGTCACTGGGTTACCCTGGATCTTTGTAGTTGACTCTCTGTGCAGAGAAATACGCTGCCTATGACACTTGTAGGATGAAACCTCTACCCCTTTTCTGGTTGCCAAGACACAAAGAGAGGTCCAAGATGTCCTCACTTTTAGCTGTTCTCCTGCTCCTAAAACACAAATACTAGTTAGTTGCATTCATTTCACATGACGCTATATTAAACTCATTTTTCAGGTAACACTATGATTCAGAAATTAAGCAATATTGCAACAGAGAACGTTTGTAAGTAATCTAAAAACCTACAAAATGTTAGGAAAATGTAAAATGACTTCTGTCTCTAACAGCAGTCTGCTTTATTTAGTTCAAAATTAACAGACACTGGAGGCATTGACCATGAAGTGGGACATCTGGCCTCATTCCTAACCTTGAACACCCCCTTCCTGTGCACTAGAATAGATAGCTGGAGGAATCTTAAGGTAAACTCCCCAACTGCAAAGAACTGTTACATCTAGGTTAAAGTTAACTATCTTGTGACCATGACCTGAACTGTTGGAATGAAATGTAATCACCCAAATGAAGGCAAGGCTGTAAAACCCTGTAAAAGGAGGAGTTGTGACCCAGTGGGTTGTCCATCCAGGCACTGCTTATGTGACATCGAGCTTCCTCGATGAGTGACTTTGTTATTTTACGCCCATCCTCTCTGTGTCACTTGCTAATTCCTTCCTTCACAACACATGTGAGGACCCCTCATCTGGAAGTAACAGGTTTTAAACCCTCAGTTACTGTATTTGCTATCAAAGCTACTGCTCGTCACCTATATGCTACGTTGCCGTTTTGTTGTATTTTCTACAATTTCTTCCTAATAAGGAGTAAAAAGAAAAAAAAGAAAAAAGCCCAAGCAGCTAGGCATGGGCAGGCACTAGTAGCCTTTGAGTAGCAGTTATGAAAACCCTTCAGTGTGAAAGAAAACCAGGAAGCACTTGTTTCCTGAGGATATGATTTAGGACAGAAATGTGCATTTGTGCATAGCAGGGAAAGTTCTTTATTCTTTATCTTCCTAAAAGATATATATTATTGAATTGTTGGAAGTCCAGCTTTGGGAAGTGGTTTGTATTTTGTCTTATTCTGTAAAACATGATTGGGCAAACAGAAACTTGTTCATTTATATTCTCCAAACCATTTATTCCTCTGGTTCCAGGTCTTTTATTACCTTTCTTTGAAAAGGAAGCAAAAACCCAATGGAAACTAAAAGTCCATTATTATCATGAAAAGCTTTGTTGTACATAAATGGAAACTTTCTATAATTTTTGAGGGGAAGTTAATATAGTTTTCTTTATCAGGCAAGTACAGCAAGATTACTCATTTCTTTGGGATGCTGCCAAATTTCCAAGAAAACAACGAGTGGGAAAACTTCAGCATGGAGTTGTTTTCAGACAACATATTTGGGGAAGGGCAGAGAGGAATTCTCTCAGGATTACTGAACACAGCCTGTATTTAGCCTTCAAATTCATATGAGGCAGAATTTAAATGATTCATTTTTGGGGACACACATAACAAGTCAGCGTCCGGAACTGCTGCAGTGATCTGGCAGGGTGTGACACCTCCCACGACTTGGAGGGTAAATAGACTGGCTCCCATCCTAGTCACTGCAGGGATAGCTTTTCCCAGATACTAGGAAGATCTGCTAGCTGTTTAGAGGATGAAAGACATTTTCAAAGGGCAGGACTTTGCAGTGTAGGGCAGTTGGTTGCTGGCTGGGGAACATTTCATTTGAAAGGTTACCTAGCTGAGCCTACACCAGGATGAAACTCTCAAACCATTATCTTTTAAATCTGGGATTAAAGCCCCAGGCAAACACCCTCAGAACCAAACACGCAGCAGTATCTTGCAGCTTTTGCTGGGGAAGCCAATGGGTCTAGTTTGTTTAGAAAACATTCTGTGGCCATTGTCTAAGTCCTAAGTGTGGTTGCCTAAAACTCTGCTGACATTAAAGTTATGTTTGCTCAAACAGGAACATAAAGGACAGAAATGCCATCATTTCTTTATCTGATTGCAAGTAACATGTATTTCATTTTCTCTACAGCAATATGACTGCTGAAAAACAACCCACCTGTAGACAGAACCACAAGCTGCCTCTATTTCATTGTAATTTATATATTGTACTTGTATTACTGTAAAACTTTGTATCATACTCCTCATATTCTACTTTTATAAAAGTGTATAAAGACTGGCATTTTCACATGATGTCACTGCTTGAACTTAGCAAACAAACACTTTTTAAAGAATGAGAAAACCCAAGTACTGGAGGTAATTTATGGACTGACAGTCCTCAGCTTATCTGAGATAAACCTTGTAATGTTTAGGATAGAAATCTCATTCCGATTACAGTTGTATACATGTGTATGTGTTTTAAATGAAAGATGCGTAGTTGCTTTTAAGACCAAGAAGAAAGAAACCCCAAAACCTGAAAAGATGCTTTTCATTGCTTATATGGTGTTTCCCATTTATATGCCTGCATACCTCTGACCAGAGTTTAGTTCTGTGAGACCCGAACTCTAGCATGGGTTTGAAGGCCTAATGGAATATACTCCATCTCAAACGAAAGGGTCAAAACATGCAGTGCTGCAAGTTGCTGTGAGTCCCGCCAGACCCTTTTTTTTTTTCCTGATATGTGAAAAGTTTTTTGTTCTTCAAAGAAGGACCAAACATTTAAAGAGGAAAAGGCCAGGAAAACTGTGCAAGAAGAAAAATGGGAAATGGAAGAGAGCAGATGATCAGCATCAGGGAAGATGGGGAAGGGGTATAAGGCTGGAAAGACCACAAGGAAGTTTCCACCAAGCTTGATTATGTACCACAAAATAAAGTGTTAGTACCATCTTGCTGTTGTTTAATTTCATGGTCCTTGGTTTAAAGTTCCTCCTCTTTGCTCCTGATTGTTTGCAGCCAGTAGTGTAGTCCCTTTTGCTAAGGACGTCCCGGGGCCTCTTTATCTCATTATTTTCCTCCCTCATCACTCCTCTTTTACTTTCCTCTGCTATCTGTAAGTTGTCCTTGCTGCATGATCCCTTGGGGTCTTTCATCAGTTAGGTAACTTTTATTTCTCCTGGACGCTCTGAGCATCAGACTCCTGGGGAAGGAAATGGATGTTTTCTCTCTTCTTGTACAGAGTTAGGCTTTGGAAGTGATAAGACTTCCGCATCTGCTGGGAATTGGACCCAGAAATGTTGTTGCTTTTGGTATCCATGTCTGAGCAACAGCGGAGAAAGTTGATAAAGAGGTCTCCCTGGCTGTTAGAGGCCAGCGCCCCTTGTGTCAGGGAGGCGCCCTGAGGCGGCACCTGCCTGAAGATTCTAAGCCAATGGTGGGGAACCTTTTAGAGACAATGACAAACTGAAACCCCAAACCCACTTACTTATTGCAAAGTCCCAACATGGCAATTGAGCCTGAATATCCGATGCTCTCTGCTCCTGGGACCGAGACTCCCTGTGATGACAGACAGGGGCTGAGTGTCATGGGTTTGTCAATACCGTTCTAAGCTTTCTTGTGCCCTGGCCCCTCTGGAAGTCTGGTGAAACCTACAGACTCTTTCCCAGCATCATTACTTATAGATACATAAAATAAAGTGAACAGAATCACTGAGTAAACCAACAAATTGGAATACTTTGTCAAAATGTTTTTAAAATCATGGTGTAGCTGTACACACTGGCCACCTGTGCTCTCTGAGTCCACCTAAGAACATACTGCATTTTGAAATACGATTTCACTTAAAATGGCATTTTGAGATAGCTGCAGCAATTTCAATGTAATATGAAGACATGTGCCTTAAGAGTATAATCACTGTTATTGATATTACTTTAGTTTTTTGCATACTCTTGTAATGAAAGGAAACACTGCTTTTGGGTTAAAAGTTAGTAAAAAGTAATGATATTATTCTTTTTTTTCCACCTAAATTTAACATCCCTTCCCACCTACCTCTGGGTCTCTAGGGAGCTCTTGGACATCAGGTTAAGAATCCCTGAAAAAGAGTATTTTTTTTAAATCAGTGGTGGTTAATAATCAGTCATAAAGACCACATTTTCCTAAATCTATCCTTAAAGAAATGGAAATAATAATGATGAACCATTGTAGTAATAATGGCAGCCATCAATTGAGTTCTTTCAATGTGTCAGTTATTACAACTTTCACATGTTTTATTTACTAAAATCCTTCAACAGCCCTAGAAGGAGGTGCTTGCCTCTTTCTTACAGAATCAAAGCTCAGCCAGATTCAGGAATCTGCCCAACGCCATATCTTTAGCTAACAAAAAAGTTGCGATTTGCATCGGTCTCACATGAATACCCTTCTACTCCTCCCCTCTTTTTTCCTCCCCTCCTCCGCCTTCCTTGGTCAGAGGCTGTCATTTTCTGACCAACGCACTCTGGAGCCCAGACACTCCGCCCACCTAATGGGGGCTGTGGCAAGCCCTGTAGCTCTCTGTTGTCCCTGTCCCAGACCCTAAGTTTGAGTGACTCAAAGTTTCCCATCATTTGTAAATTCTTTAATAGTAGACATTACAGTTGCCCAGAGGAAACAGCTGGCTCGAGTCACTTCACATCCTAGTTACGTTCTGTTTATAGCCTATACTCTGCATCTGAAATTTCTAGACCGCTCAATTTGGCTGGAAATCCCCTTAGGGATTGTGCCCAAACAGCTCATTATTGTTTGGCAACATAAAATCAATCAAATTACTGTAGAATTTGAATAGCACACCTGGCCTCTGAATGCCAATTTACTAAAGTCAACAAATCTACAGGTAACCACCTGCATGAAAGAAACTGCTTCACTGAAATCTAAGAAAAATGATGGAATTTTTCCTTCATCGCAATTTGAGGATCTTGCATGTGTGTGAGATCTCTTTGATTGCATTGTCTCTGATCCATACCTGTGGTGTGAACAGGTATGGGATTTGGTGTAACTGTTCAGAATATTTGGCGATATGTAACCGTAATCTAAAAAGTCTGTAGTCAGCTGAGCATAGTGGCAGACACCTTCAATCCCAGCGCTCCCAAGGAGGTGCGGGGCTGAGACAGGGGGTGGTAAGTTGGAGCCCAGCCTGACCAAATTAGTGCCTTAACATGAGACTGTCTCAAGATTAAAAATAAATAAATAAAAGGCCAAGGATAAAACTTCTCAGCACAAAGGCCCTGAGTTCAATCTCTAGTACCAAGCCCCCAAGAGTTTACACATCCATTTTAAGCTGACATTTTTATTTTTAGAAATTTATTTTAAGAAAACCATCAAGGACACTCACAATAATTCAGCTTACAGGGATAATTATGGGACTATTGTTTATAATACCATGAACTATGACAAAAATATTTGGCAACAAGCAATTGTTTCAATGAAATGTAGTCAATACAATGAAATGATAAAGGGTTATTAAGTTAGGATAGGTAACACTCTGCAAAAGAGAGAGTTTTGAAACAGAGAAGAAGATGACTTCTATATCTAGATGAAGGTAAGTTTGATCAGACTCTAGTTTATTTTTGAGTCAGTTCATTTTGCTTATTTATATTTTCGGAAGTTTCTAAAACCAATGCATATTACTATGGAGAGAGAACAGAAATGAGAGAAGAAAGATTTGGCCCTCGAGAAAAGAAAGATTATATCCTAGAATCACTCAAGAAGCAATGCACAGGGTTTAAAGGAAACTCCCAATGTGAATGAGGAAACCATTGTTCTTGTGCCTGGACAGGGGATTCATTCTACAGTAGACACCGGAGAATAATTACAGCTGCAGTTAGGTGGAAGGATGGGCCAGGTGAGGCAGGCAGTAACCACAGGCTAAAAATATTAAGGGAGCCCATGATTCCCATGCTGTGGAAGCATTTGTTTGTGGTTTTCACATAGGATAGCTGCCTTGTTAAAATACCAGCTCCGTGCTTTTCTATTTTTAAAAATTAAGGCACTGACATACATTTCCTTTGCTCACTGGCCTTTCATCAAGGCTTTTTGGAACACAACCTAGACTTTCCTTATTTTCATTTTCTGAGGTGAGAGGAGGGTTAAAAATTTGTAAAACTTGGCCTAACTGGCTTGTGGAAATGACCCAGTATGTCTTAACAAACATAGAAACTGAGTCATCCACCCTACACTCGTATAAATGGTTCCTCCTCTCTTTTAAGACTAAATATTTGTGTATGTGAGTCTTGGTCAGTTTAGATACTTATTTGAATTACTGCAATTAAAGAAGGCTTCCAGATGTCTCTGAAGCTAAATTTCATGTTATTTCCAGGAATTCACGTATCCCAATACACATACACACACTCATACCACAAATACATTTTCCTAACATTCAGCAATGAATAAGAATAAAGCACTGCTATCCGAGAGAACATGGATACATTTCCCAAATGATGAGGGCCAAAACCATCTTCCTACCCCATTAGTAATTGTGAGGCACAGTCCTAGATGTAATCTCAAGTGGTATAGCCGTTTTCCTTATGCAACATTCACGCATGTTTTGCATAGGAGCAACATTTCAGTCCCCAAATGGTGTTTTTCAAGGTACTTATATATTCCCCGGGTGCACCTCCAATGGGAAGACTGTGCCAAGTGTTCCACTAACTGCTAATTCTTGCCACACTTCTCTGTTCCATGTGTCCAGATAACCTTGATTCTTGTGTGAGCCGTGGGGTGGACTGCAGTGATCACTCCCATCTCAGACAGCAGGCAACGCCTAGAAGGGGTTGAAGGGAAAATGAAGGAAGCCAGGGTGGGATCTCTCCAAAACCTCATTCCATATTATCTAAGACAATCCCTTAGCTGAAGCAATTCTAAAACTAACATTAGATGTAATTGCTCACACCTATTAACTTTTTTTGGTAACTTTTTAAAAAAATTACCTTTTATGTGCAATAAAATGCACACAAAAATGGACAGCTTGATGAATTTTTACACCCACTTATGCTGTGTGCCCACCGTCCAAATCGTGATACAGGATACTTCTGGTCCTGGAAGACTCCCACCTCTCCCAGGCACCATGCATCTGCTATTGACCACCACCACACATACCCGAAGGAACTGCAGTTTTCTACCACCATAAATTAGTTGTGCATGTCTCTGAACTTTATATACATTGATGTATGAACTACACTCTCTTTTGTGTCTGGTTATTCTCAATGAACACCATGCTATTGAATCCTAGTTCATGAAATATCCCGAAAACATTCTGTTGATAAGAGGAAGCTAAGTGTATTCCTCCGGACAGTAATCAAGAATGCTGGTGACATAGAGGGAAAAGGAAAAGATCGGATTTGAGATATTTGGTTCTGGTTTTATGTGGCTCTTTCAAGGACTGCTA